TCTTTCTTCTTTAATTTTTTTTTTATTTTTTTTTTTCCCTGAAGGAGCTATCGAATATCTCGAAGGAAAAAATAGCAACTCCTCTTTCCTTCCCCCCTGCCCGGCTCGATAAAAATGCTAAATAATCGGCCGACGTCCATATTTCACAAGCTTTTGGAGGGGGAGAGGAAGAAGGTGGGAAGAGAATGGAGGCGCCTGTCGGGTCGGAGTTACAGGGCTGGCTACCCGCAGGAGGGGTTATTTTCGCAGTTAATGTTTTCGAGCCGATGTTTTTGTTGCTTTCCGTCAAGAAGCAAGTTGCCTGGTCCTCGCGCTTGCTTGCTTGCATAATGCGTCGTACTTGGAGGCTGATCAAACGCTGGGTTCTGCCTTTCCTGCCCGGCTCTTCCTCCTTCCCTGCCCCGGCGGCTGCGGGGGCTGGGGGCGGGAGGACTTCGGCGGGGCTGGGGGCTCTGCCCCCGCCGCCTCCCCGTTACTGCTCTGCGGAGCCGGGGCTGGGAAACAAACCGATACCGGGGCTTTCGCCAGACCTGTAGGCCCGTCTTCCTGCTGTTCAACTTTTTTATTGTTCCCCCTTCCCCCCCCCCCTTCCTAGTGCACTGGCTTTCTCGACAGCCAGGGGTTTTCACAGAACGGGAGTCCGAAAGTCTAGACTGTGAACCGGAAAATAATAGGGGAAAGAATGGAAAGTTATGTCAAGGGCTTTGGGGGAAAAACATCGACGTATCGAACAAAGGTCCTGCCTGTATTGGAGAGAGAGGCCTGCATGTGAGGCCTGATTGTGTCGCATTTACACACGGGGAAGAAATGAGTGCTTGGTACTGGCCTAAATTTATTCTGTGAGTCTGGCATGCAACTTGGGAACGTTTTTACAGTGTGTGCAGTTTGTTTTGAGGGTGGTTTTATTATGTGTAGCAATCCAATAATAATTTTATTTTGAAAAAATTTTTTTTTCCAAAAGACTGTTAGTTTTTTTTTTTCTTTCTGCCTTGTTCAGCAGAAATAATATTGATCCAGAGGTTCTAACACCATAACACAAAACTTTACTCAAACAGGATAACTTCCACAGTTTATGTATTGTGTATCTTGTGAATATTGAGCTTCCTGGTGCTTTAAAGGCTGTCAGAAAGAGGAGTTAAGTAGTTACCACCTGACAAATATGAAGTACATCCTTCATAATGAGAAAGAAGAGGAATTTTAATGACTTAAATTAATTTTTCAAGCTTTTCTTAGGGGTACTGTCACTGTGGATATACTTCCTTTATAAGACTTTAAAAGCTAGCAAACATTGCTATGATTACTTCTGTTTATCTCTGGTATGTTCTCTTCTCTCCAGTTCTGTCTGTCTCTCTGCCCTCCTACCCCCAAGACTAGACTTCTAATTGTACAGGGGTGGTTTTTTGGTATTTAATTTCTGCTCAAACAGATTTGTGAGGTCTTTAAGTTTTTCATTATGCTAAAAGTTTTAAAATATATTTTATATAAAATATATATATATAAAAAATGCATAATGAACATGAAAGCAGTACTTGAAAAACAACTCTATAATTTTCTATTGTTTGGTAGCCTAAGTAATAAATATTGATAGGAATGAAATGTATTTATGAAAACATTAGTATTTTGGTTTTTGCAGCTAATATTTTAACAATTAATGTTATGTTTGAACTAAAGTTTTAAAAGCAGTGTTCTGGTGAGTAAATACTGTAATTAGTACTTATAGTTTTCAGGAACTTACATGTTTTTAACTTGTAATAGTTTCTATATTTGTAAAATGTAGCTGATTGTGAATGGCTTGGTTCTGTATATACACAGGTTTTGATCTTAAAATTGATGGGTATTTTTATTTTTTATTGTTTGGTGTATCCTGTTGTGGTAGAAATATAGGTAATCTGATTCCCCCCAAAAAAAATGGGGAGTAGTAAGCTTGAATTGACAACTTCAAGTCTGAATGTTCTTCAGTGTCCATATGTAGGAACCTAAACAGGTCTTAGCTGTTAGTAGAAAAATTGTAGGTCATCCACAGTGTGGCATTACTACTTATTAATATAGCAGATCTACTTCAGTAGGAGTGCCGACCTGTTGAGTAAGAGGCTTATGAAAATGGAGTCTTTTGATGTCTTGCAAAAGTTCTTCAGGCCAAAGTGACCATTAGGGAAACAGTAAATGAATAATCGGAACTGTCATTCTCAATCAGGAGTCATGCACAAGTTCGTTTTTTATTTTCCTTTTTATATTGCACTTTGTTTGTCTTCAAACACAGAATGCAAATATTATAGAAAAAAATGTAATGAAAACGTGTTCTTATAAAATCGTTGCTAAATTTGAGGTCCCAAGCTATAGGCAACAAAGACACTGTAGACCTTCTGTAGCAGTTCAGCAAAAACGTAGTACAGTTGACTTTAATGTTGTGAATGAAGCCATGACGAATTTTTGTGTGGGTCCTTACATCACAGATAAGTACAGTTATTTACTTTGAGGCAATCCAGGAAGGTAACCTGACTAAATTCCTTTTGTTTCTATGCAATGAACCTGAAGCATGAGTAGGGAAGTTACTGTTTTGACTAACCTACATGTTTGTACTTAATTTGCAGTGTAAGTGAATCTCGGAACTACCTGTGTTAATCTTATAGGCCATGCTATATTTTCTAACACGCTAATTAGTAAGCAGCATGTAGAGCACTTCTGATCATGGGTCTGTCTTCCATCACACTGAGACTAAATTATTGTGAGAAAATATAATCAAATCCCAAAGTTGTGCAACATGTTGTACTATCACATTGTCAAAAACTTAACCTGGAATGTTTCTGGGATCTCCTGTTGGCCTGTTCGATGGTCTGTGTCCTGTTCATCACCTGTTAAATAAATTAGTAATGCTCCCTATAAAACACTTCGTGGACTCTGACATTCTTAATAGTGGAAACTTTTCATCAAACTGTCACTGCCCCATTCAGTACTGACTCTGAAGGTAGTAGTACATTTGAATTTCTTGGTAGGGTAACAGATTACCTTTGAGTCAGTGGGTTTATTTTTCTGAAGAAGTAATTCTTACTTTGAAACTTGCTCTTGATATTTTAATCTATATATAGTATCATAGCAGATTTATGGCAATATATGAATCAACTTCTTGCTGAGCATTTTCATAGCTTAAGTTTTAATTTGGGACGTAAGGTTGGTAACTGCAAAACAAAGTGACATTAACTCTTTCTTACCTCCTGATTTTTTTTTCAATTCACATGAAATAATGTGTTTCTCGAGGAGCAAAACTGTTTTCAGACTTCTCACTGGTGATCAAGTATGACAAAATGCTTGTACGTAGCTGCTTGTTTCAGCATGTCTTTTTTTTAACAAAATGATTAACTTTAAAACATGAATGCAGCAATCTTCTGTAAACAGAAAATTTCTAGCTACACATGATATCAAGTGTGAAAGACAGCATTAAGTCAACCAGCTTCTCCATTGCATGCTTTCAGATACCAGTGATGGTTACTTTGGTGTGAAGGTTAGTTTTGAAGAGCAATTGTTCTCCTAATCCTGCCATGTGATAAAATTTTTCTCATCAAGTCGGTAGAATCTAACTGTGTAAATATGCAGTCATATTCTCCTTTAATTCTGTCTGGCAGCCAGGGTTTGAGCACACATAACCAATCTGTTTACTCTCACTGTCTATAATAAGGCTTGTCTTGCAATGTACTGACTCTTGCCAGTCTTACTTGACTCATGAACATACTCAGTACAAATATGGCAGAAAACTGCCATGTATGAGAGCAATAGATAGTCAGCTTCTGAAGTGAAGACTTTTATGTAGGAAGAACTGGAAAAGTTAGGTGTATATCAACAAAGTTAATCACAGTGATCTAATACTGGACTTCAATAGTAAAGATGCCTGAAAAGTACTAGCAATGGTGTTCAAGCCATAGTTGCCTTCAGTTGTTACAGAAAAGCCTCTCTTGTCATGATTCAGAGTAAGCCAGTTTGGAA